GTAAGCTTTTAAGGGTCAAATACATTACTGCAAACCTTAGCCTGCATTCTGAATCACAAATGATTAGTAACAATTTGGATTAACATGCTTCATTCCTTTCCACTATTGATATATACTTACAAAGGACCTGTTGCTGCCGAGAATATCTGAGATTTGCAAAGAAAGGGACGAAGCCTGTAAATAGTTTGCAGACTGAGAGTTGGGGATTGTTGGTTAGGACAGAATGCAAAATGTCTTATTTTCAATAATAAGAGCTAGCCTTGGGATCTGCCTTTTAGGGTATGTCTACACTACCTGCTGGATCGGCGGGCAGCGATTGATCCAGCGGGGATTGATTTATCGTGTCTAGTCTAGATGCGATAAATCAACCCCCGAGCGATCTCCCGTTGACTCCTGTACTCCACCGCCACGAGAGTCACAGGCAGAGTCGATGGGGGAGTGGCAGCAGTCGACTCACCACGGTGAAGACACCACGGTAAGTCGATCTAAGCACATCGACTTCATCTACGTTATTCACGTAGCTGAAGTTGCATAACTTAGATCGATCCCCCCCAATGTAGACCAGGCTTTAGTTACAATTACAGCTGGATTAATGCTGTATGGGGTGAAATAAGCCCCTACTTCTGTTCACAAATTAACCATAAACTGACCTTAGTTTTAATACATTCAATGTTTGGATAAATGGTTTATTCAGACATAGCAAAAGGTATCTATCTATCTATCTATCTATCTATCTAAGACACTTCACTGCATATGTTTCTCCCTCTGGAGAAAGGGTGAGAGAACAAACTACACATGATAGAATGCGTAGTCACATTCTTTAAAGCACTACTAGAAGGCATTCAGATACTATGTGATGAGCAGAATAGAATAGAATAGACATATTTTTGCCTATGGGTGTCCCCAAAACTATTCACTATCCCTATTGCTATAGTATTTGTTACTCACAATTTGCTATTCATACTGTGTGATTGGTTACCAACTATTCATCTAATTTTGATGTCATCAGAAATATCTATGCCATGCATTTTAAGATGTTCTGCCTATCAATCCATCTCTCTTAACAGGTTTTACACCGATGCTTACACCTCAGAGACCTGCTGTTGTAGTGCCTCTTCACAAGAGTACTTGCTCTCTCAATTGCTCCTGTAGCATGGCTTCCCAAATGCTGGATTTTTCTGACAAGTTTCTTACAGCTGATAAAAGTCTTGTTGAAATCCCGGTGAAATACACCCACTGCCTTGAAGCCAAAGAACTTAGTCACATATATCTGTTTTTTGTAAACCTCATCTGGGGAAAGACTTAACATTCTCTAACAAAACCCCACTGGTTTATCTTATATACATGAGTCTAAAATTCTTTCTGGAAATGAAATCAGAATTAAAAATGTCTAGATGCCTATTGCTTCCCTCATTTCTTTTTCTGAATAGTGGACACAGCTTTGTCATTGTCTGTCTTCTTCCCCTTTTCCTGGTGACATTCAAGTGTTAAGCAAAAATTCATGAAAACATGCCCTGGGCAATGCCAATTCCTTGCGTAACTCACATAGTAGCCTAGAATGACCCCCATCCTGTCATGGTGACTTATTCATGTTTGTTCTGTCTAGAGCGTGCTGTACCATTTCCCCCCATGATCTGGAAGATGTCTTGCATGTCCTCTCTGTTTATGATCAGACTATCTTCAGATATTTCCTCTATCACATTATGATTCATCATTTGGATTAGACATAAAACCGAGGTCCTGACCACTTGTGGTCATTAAAAATCCTCTGGCAATTTTCACAAGAGTAAGGGTGATTAAACCCCTGTGTCCTGGCCAAATTCTGACTTGAGTAATTACATTCTGCCTACCAGAAATCCCTCCCACAGTTTCAATGGCCATGTTGTTTTTCACTTCCTGTCCTAAACTTTTGAGCAGTATTGTGTAGTGCTATTGAATAGATATTGCTTTTCACTCCGAGCCCTGGGTAGCTACATTTCAGTAGTGGATGAAATGATCTTTATACATACTTTGTACATTAATTTATTGTGCACTTTGGGATCTGCTGGGCTGAAAGGCAGTATATTTTGTAAAGATGCCCACCAAATGAGTGTCCCATTCCTCTATCATCTCTTTATCCTGCTGTAGAATGACACTGGGTTTGTTCATAAGCAGTTTTGTTTTCTCCTTAACTTTCCCTTGCCTCGGTGTAGTTACAGAATAGTTATTCTCATTTCTGGGTCTGTTTTCTTGCAAGATTCCACTAGTTCCACTAGGCACCTTGACTCCCTCATCCTGCTCTGTTATATTTCTTGTACTACTTTTTTTTTACAGAAGCTATGGAATTATTGGGGTCAGACCCGCAGCTGCTGTAAGCTGGCACTGCTCTATTGACTGCAGCAGAGCTATGCCAATTTACACCAGCTGACAATCTAGACCATGGACTTTTTACACATATGGAGGACTTCTGATTTAAACGCAGGTGCCTTGTTTTCCCATATCTGAATGAAACTCTTCATAACTATTTCTTTCCCATAGTCACTCTGGAAACATTCCATAATCCATAAATTACAGGATAATTCTTGCTTTTTTGTGGGCTCTATACTTTATTAGCACGATTTATCGTGTTTTAATTTTATTTTAATAATGATTTGCTGTGTTGCATCACAGTTGTGACAAGGGTGCGTTATGCATGAAGGATGGGTTCTTCAAAGCTGCCTAAATCCATTAGGTGCCTTTGAAAATCCCACCTTACATTATTATAATCACAAGAAGCCTACCATTGTGACTGTTATACAGAGGCGTTGTTATAACAGAGGTGTAAAAGAGGTTAATGTACTCGAGTTGGGATCTAAGACAGGTAGCATTATTAGAGGAGAAAGCCAGAACTTTGGAATAGTTACCTCTTTGAATTACAGGATAGTGTGGTTTTAAATTCCCAGTTCTGAGCCACTCCCTACCACTATTTTGTTTACAGCCTGGGTCCATAAGTGGAAGGAATCAAGTATTCCAGGTACCTAGCCTCCATGTTGTGAGCAAAGCTATCTGCCAGTCAAGACAGTGTAACTCTTGTAAGGTCAGCTGACTTCAGAAGACTTCCATCCTTTGGGCCCAAAAACTCATGAGAACTGCTCACAAGATTTCTGAGCCCTAATCCCAGTAGGTTAGGGCTCAGAATCTTCAAACTGAAACAGATTCAAGCCTTGCCCCTAGGTCATTTCCACTTATTGCTAGAACCTTGTTTCAAAATTGAAGTCGTGAGAAAATTGTCTGGGTTTCATTTTTCCTTAAAAACTTGAAACTCAGCCCAAGAGCACAGACAGGTTCTCTAAGGTTTAAAACCTTTCAAGTGCAGCTGGGCCCTCTTTTGAGTCAACCTGAGCTAATTTACAGTTTTGCATTGAAAACATATGAACTTTGTGGGTTTGCATGGTTCCAATGTGAAACCAGGTGAAACTCATTAGAGGGTTGAAGCTAGGACTGGGAAATGAACTATGCTGATTCTATTCCTGGGTCTGCTGTGGAGGCTTCCTATGTGACCTGGGACAAGTCACTTCATCTCTCTTTGTGTCAGTTTCTCCATCAATAAAATGGGCATAACATGACTTAGCTGCCTCATTGGAGGGATGTAAGCCTATCTTGGTTAGTTAAATGGTTTGTAAAATGGTTTGAAACCCTCAGATGGAAGGCATTATAGGCCTTTTCCTACTGGGCTTCATTTTGAGATCCTACAGTGAAAGTTGAGGTAGGCAGAGAAAGATACAAACTGACACTGAGTGAAACCAAATAAAATATTTGTGGGTACCTCCAGGAAGCAAAACAACTGAATTTTATGCTGCTCTGTGAGTCAGACACAGACTACTTCTTGTAACAGAATGCTCTGCGGAGAACATAAAGGTTACAGTCAATTTTTATTAAAGTTGTCTTGTTCAGAGTCAGGCTTAAATTTCTGCCCTTGGACTGGTAGAAAATCTCTCCTCTTCGCCTGCTACAGTGACGAGACAGCAGCGGACTTATTAGTTAGCAGATTTCTCCAGAAAGCCATCTATTAATGCCTGGGATTGATTTTTTCAAGGTCACTAGCTCTTTAGTAACCTACCATCGTCTTCTTTTAATTCAGTTTGTAAATCCTTGGCCTTCCCCCTCCCTTACATGCACTTTTCCCCTCTTTCTGTTCCGTTAAAGGCAGACGTTGTAGCTTTAAGATTTTAAGACCTTTCCCAGATGGAAAAGGTCATTTGTCTTTCACTACTCAACACTTTCTTCATGAGTTCATTTAAACATTGCCAGACATCAGAGGAACAGAAATCAGCTGTACAGTTATCTTTTTCTTATTCCCTTTTTATGTAGGTGGCAAATGGGTCTGGAACAAAACTGTTTGGTTCCCATAGCAATTCACAATATGTGCTTACCATAATACTGTACTCTTCCCACTCCTTATCTACACCTGTTGTTTCTTTCTTTGCTTCCTATTAGTTAATAGCGGTAACACCAGCATTATTTTGGATGGCATTAGATAGACTATTCCCCAGGTTGTTTGTGGTTTCTCTCTGTTAGCCGTTAGGAAAGGATGTACACTTAATCTAACCAGTAGAAAGCTGACACTTTATTAATCATCTATTTCCAATTGGAGCCTTAATGAGGAGTTAATTAAAGGGATGATACTATACAGCATCTGCTAATCTTGGTGCATTATTTTATATGAAAGCAGTCATCAGAATTAGTCATGAGCATTATCTTGCTGTGTGTGGTCTGGACTGAAATGGTGTGTCTGATTCCATTCAGCTACAGTGGGCAGAGTTAAGATACACGTTTGATGAGTTACTCAGTTGGATCGTATTTTGAAAGTTTGTCACGCTCCCTATCTGTCTGTATCTCTAGGCTCAGCGTCAAGGGATCATTAAAAGCTTTCAGCTTCACTTTGTAGCGTGTCTGAAATGAGTAAAGTGACAAAAGTCATCCTTTCCCATGAGTTAACAGGAGCAGCTGCTGAAATGTCCACTGGCTTATTGTTAGCTGGCATTATGTAACCGTGTAGCATTTCATTCCATTTTGGTGTAGAGAACGCTGGTTCTGCGTCTGGCTGCTGGGGGGTGTCTGCTTGGATCAGAGCTATGGCCATCAGAACCTTCTGACAACATGCAGCTCAACAAAGATAAAGAGAGCCATTGTCTTCCCATCCAGGGACGGGAGAGACACATTGCTTGCAAAAGGACTTGTGCCAAGCTAAAGAGCGCTACTCAGCCAGTCAGGGAATCAGAGGATCCCCTGGCTCATGCACTGTGGCTGCTCTGATATTCAGAAAGCTGTTGTTCACTGCAGGTATTGTATCTGGTAACGCTTCTTTAACTCTTTCCTTCTTTCTTCTGTTTCCTCTTACTCTTGTCCTAAGACATGTGCCAGGGATAGTTGTGTCTGAGAAAGTAACTTATGGATCCTTCCTTCATTCTGGGTGGCCAATAAACTCCTCCTTCTCCCCCCTCCTTGTTGCAGATGCAGTCACTAATTTCAGGCAAGGAAGATGGCCTAATGATCCCCCTTTAAGGTCAATGTTGTTGCATAAATCCATCTAGTCGTGGTTGCTATAAGAGCAGTGCAGTTAACCAGAGACAGAGTGGTGTAATGTTACGAAGCAGGGCATGCAAGTTGCCTGCTTAAATCACTGAAGCATTTTAATTGACATTCGGTGACTCTTCCTTCTTCTCCATGCTGTATGTAATTGAGTGAGTGCCGCTGGGTGCTGGTCTTGGAGGTCATTCTGTGAGCATTGCTACCACTTCTGCATTTGGCTGTTGCAACAGTACAGTCCTGTGGAATTTATCTGGAAACTTCATCTATTCGCTGCTAAGGGGCAAACAGAGGAACACTGTCGTTTGTTCATGCACCAGGGAGAACTGTGAATTAGCCTAGCTCAAGCGAGAGCAGTCGGACTGTAAAATAACACTGGTGCTGCACTCACTCATGTTGGCACTAAGACTTCTGGTGGCCCATCCCATGGTTCTTGGGGCTGCAGTAAGCTGAGCCACTCAATGAATTCTTTCCCAGTGAATCGTGGGGAAAGTTGTCTGTCCATTTTGGGCACACACGGGGAATTGTGGGAAGGCTTCGGAGAATGTGGAGTACTTAGATGGTGCTAGCCTGGATCCACAATACAGAATGGTTGTGTTAGCAGCTAATGGAGTTGTACTCACTTGAATTTTAGCCTATTCCTCTACTCAGGCCAGTCAAATCAAGTTAAAAGCATCACCACACTTTGATTAAGGATTGTTGTGTGGAAGGGGCTTCAGTTAGGGATGACACTCGAGTGATAATATAAGTTAACTTTGCAGTGAAGACAAGCACATTGTGTTTATGGGATCCATGCTTCTAAACCCCTGAGGGGCTTTTCCAGATCTCCCTCTTTCCCCTCAGACCCAAATATTCACCATATTTGGAAACAAAAAAGGCATCTCTCCCATGATGGTTTCGTTTCCTTCAGCAATCCACTAAACTGCCAGTAGGTAAGTATTCTTTTGCTGCCCGTAATGCTATCTTGCTCCTCCCCATTCAGATAACTATTTCACAGAACCGCTTCCCTGTATGTAGTGTTAAGAGTGGTTGTTAAGAGTTGGTAGAGGAAGCCATTTGGAGTGCCCAAGAAGTTTTGTTGGTCCTTCAAAACAAAGGAATTATGCTGCCTGTTTTGAACACCATCTACTGCGCCTTCTATAGTAACTCTTTACATGTATACAGATGTGAGCGCTCCTGTAACATGCAATATTCCTGAAGGAAACAGTGAGTCAGCGAATGAAAAGGAGCAAGACAGGAGAGTGTGAACCCAGAGCTGAAAGATAATTACTGTTGAATATCAACGCAAAGTGCACTTGTGCACCTTGCATATAGCCAGGCATTTTGTTACTAAAATTGGTAGTCATATTGAAACAAATAAACATTTATACTTGAAAGGTGCTACTCTCATGAGGGAGTGTGGTTTAAGAAGCATGGCAAAGCTTGCTTACTGTGCACTAGAGTCTGCCATGTTTGCTCATGTTAAATAGTACCTCACTCTATCAATAGGCCTATTGATTTCAGTAGTCTGCTACCTTGTCCTGAATGTTCAAATAGTGGGAACTGCCATCTTCTAGGTTGTGATTTCCATAAGTAGTGCACCTGGCAGTGAGGCCTCCAACAATGACACAATTGGATTGGAGGATACGAAATGTTCTAGAGCTCTGTTGCCATTTCTGGAGGGAAAGAGTGGTCTCTCTCTAGAGCAATCTATAATCTGGATTATTTCCAGGGTTGTGGTTGTTGGTGAGGTTTTTTTGTTGTTTTTTGTTTAATACCTCACTGTTCACTAGTTGTGTTTGATAAGTGATGAGCTGTGGATACCAGCTGGCCTCAATTTGGTCCCCCCTAGATACAATTTGTCCCACATTCTAGTTTGCACGTACGGAATAAATGGACTTCCTTTTGTCCGGGTCAGGTCTGAACTGACTCTTTTCATCAGGTATTAGTGAGGCACCTAAAAAACAACCCCCATAATATATCGGATGACAGGTGTGAGGAAGGGGAAGAAGTTCTCAGAACCATTTAATTCTTCATGCAATAACAACTTTTGCTAACTGATTGCAATTGAAGCTATTCCACGCCCCCTTCTTTTTTTTTCAAGCTGAAGATGAATTTCAGGAGACACCAAAAGCAGTTTGTGCGCTAGACTTTGCTTTCTTCACTCAGAGGAATTTCAAGGTAACCTCACAGGGTTTCATTTAAAAACAGGAGTTCAGAAAGAAAATATTGAGGTTTTAAACCACTGTCTCTGTTAGTTTATTAAAATATTAGTCTTATAGGTGTGTTGGGTTGATTTGCTTTCCATAGTGTTTAAAAATAGCTGCGAGAATAATGGGTTTCATCAAAAATCATTAGCTGGGATGTTACTTTCCTTTTTTTAAACCGCAGAACAAAGTGTCACAGCCAGATTAAACAGGCCACAAAGCACTCAGAGTACACACGTACAGTTAGCAATTTATATATATATGTTAACCATGGAAAATGCTAAAAGATATCAACCATCTTTTAATGCAGATTGGTCAGAACCCTCAAGAAAGGTCAGCTTGTTCAAAGCGGCTGGTATTTGCATCAAGTGACATTAAAAGGCTCAGGTATTTATAGAGATTTGCCTGGGTCTCTACAGCGCTAGGCAATTGAATGAAATTGCACAGATGAAAGGGCATTTCAGTCTAACAGCTGCAAATAGCTGTAGTGTAGTGAAGTGCTAAATGATGTCATGTTAAGCAGCATGGTTGTCTAACTTAAGGATGGATTTTAATTGTGGAAGGGATAAGGAGATCACATGGGAAGCTTCTTCTTTTTTTTTTTTGGTTATTGATTGTTGAATGTTTTACTCCTTATGGAGTGCAATCCAAACTGCAGATCCTTCTTTTCCAAGTTTTATTTACGAGCTGTATGGTCTCTACTTGTATCAGCTGGCTACTGTGATACAGGATGGGGTTATTTTAGTTAATAAACTTGCACAGGTGAATCAGAAAGCAGAAGTCATATGAGGAGACTGTTGGGAATAAAAGTAATTGTGGCTAATTCTGTGTGATCCTAATGCTTGTCCTTTTCCTGAATCTTTGGTGGGAGAGCCAACCTTGATCCCAGAGGCTAGGAGGGAAAAATATGAGACTTCTATGATGAAAGGGAAAATGTTTATGAAATTCACAAAACAATAGTGGGGATTATGGCCAAAAGGAGCAAAATCCTGTATAAAATGCTATGAAATTCCAGGAAATTCTCTCTCTCCTTCCTTCAACCACATGAGCACCCTTATCTTCCAGTTTAACATAAATAGCCAGACTGACATATGAAAGGTGCTTTCTGCTTGTGGAAACTTCATAAATCTGCACAGAGCAAAAGAAGTGGAGTGTCCTACTGAACAACCAAACATGGAGAAAAAGGGCCCTTTGCATCAGTTCTGTTTGTATGAAAATTTTCACTTTTCAGCACTTCCCAGTGTCGTGCGACACAGAGCAGCTAAGTAGTTGTTCTTTACATCAGTTTCGCAGTTTGATACAGATGACCTGCAAATGGGGTGCCCTTAGGAGACTTGCTAACCAAGCCAAATTTGAATGGGATATTATCTTCTGAACGGCTCAGGTACCTTCCTGTGCCAATACCTTGAAAAGAAACGCAAGAAATGGACCAAATACTGAAGCCCTTCCTTACTCAGATAAACTCCCTATAGCATGACTAGGCAGAGATCCAGGGGAGATTGCTGATTGTAATTTATCTATATATATATAGAAAAAATATTAAATGCCTTGGAACTCTACTATTGTTCCCATAGGCCCTAAGCCTGCACACACTTAAACACTTGCAAAATTTTACTCATGTGAGTAGCTCCATAGAATTCAACGGTAATACTACAAATGATTGAAAATTTCCCAACAGGACAATTTGCAACAGAAAATGCCGATTCAACTAAATCAAAGCATTTCATGGGAACATATTGATTTTGTTGACATGTTCAATGGGAAACTGTCAAAACGCTTGATTTCAATATGAGCAAACCATTTTGATAAGGTCAGAACATTTTGTTTCAACAGTATCATTTGGATTTTTCTATGATACAATATTCGTAAAAAAAGGACGTTCCAACCATACTGAAATGAAATGTTTCACTAAGGTTGTTTTAATGTCTTTCCCATATGAAATATTTCGGAATTGTTCTTTTTTATGGTAACATTTTGAAAATCTGGCTTTCTATTCTGATCTGGAATGAAAACAAATTTTGGAATATTGGAATTTTCCACAGACCAGAAATTCCAAGTTTCAATCACCTCTACTGCACATGTGCTTAAATGTGTATGGAATCTGGGCCATCACTAGAGTGGGTACGTGCAAAATCTTGTTAGTTGCCCTCATGATCCTCTCCCCAGCACCGTCCCTCTTACTGAATGAAGTTTGACTCCGAGAGATATTCCAAGTGAATTAAGGCAATATTGTTTATTCCCGATAATAAAAAGGACTGAGAGTTACTGACTGCTATATCGCCACCTGTGTCTTGGTTGGCATGGACAACCTTAATCCTGACATTTCCTAGCTTTTGAATGCTTACTTTGCAATTTTAACATTCATTTAATGTAGGCTTGTTGAAATAGGCTGAGGGCCTGTGATTTTGTTGTGTTTACACTCTACTCCGGCTACCTTGAATAGGCAGTTTTTAAGTAACAACTCTAAAGCTAGCTTCCGGCTCTAGGCACCAGCAAAGCAAGCACGTGCTTGGGGAGGCACAATTCCAGGGGCGGCAGTCCGGCCATTCTTTCTTTTTTTTTTTTGCT